ATCTCGTCCGGCAGGGCCCCTGCCTCTGAGCTTGGGCAGCAGAGGTGCCACGTGTGACCGTCACCCAGCCACTGCGAGCGGCGAAGCGGGGTCCTCGCGCCAGGCCAGCTGCCAGGTGGGGGGTCCTGGGAGCCGGGGCGACGCGGGCTGCTGCCTCCGGCTGTCAGTTTTGATTTGAGTTTGATTTTAGCTGAAACAGCCTCAGACCCTCCCACCCTGGTTTCCTACAAAGACCCTCCGGGGTGTACACACCCCCGTTCAGACCCAGGTCCCAGCAGAGACGTGTTGTAAGCGGCCTGCAAAGTGACCAGGTATATAGCCAGGCCGCAGCGCTGGCACTCCAGGCGTGCCGACGTCCGGCCGTCTAACCCCGCCCCCGGGCCGGTCACGGGGCCCTGTGGTGCGGCCCCTGTCACCCCGGCCCCCAGCCCGCCCACTCCTCCGAGTTCTGCGGGCTCCGTGTGCTGTGTCTGCTCCGGGCGGCTCTGCATGTGCCCATTTATCAGATGCTGACACTGAGGCCTGTGCTACCCCAAGCCCAGGGGCTTTCTGGGGCCACACCCCTCCTGTGAGGGAGTGCTGGGGCCGCGGGCGGGGTGCCTCGGCCACTGGCGGTCCCCAGTGCCTCACTAGCGGCCACTCCTGCCCGACCTGGCTTGCCATCGACCCGCCTGCGGGCTCCTCATTAGCGGTGGCCCTGGCCTGTGAGTGGGACGGCACCGTCCTCGCACCCTGTCCGCTTTCTCTCGGCGCCCGTTGGGTTTGCAGGCAGCAGAGGGTGAGCAGGGGAGGGAGGAGCCAACTGAACCGGAGCATCAGGGCCCAGCACCGGTGTCTGCTGGGTGGTCCCTTGGATGTGGTGACACGGCACCTCTCCCGCTGTCCAGAGCGCCAGGACATGACCCTTCACCCCAGGTCATGACCCTCACCCTGAGATCACGACCCTCACCTCCAGGTCATGACCCTGACACCCAATGCCATGACCTTCACCCCAGGTCATGACCCCCAGCCCCTAGGGAAGGCTGGGTGCACCTCTGTGCCTCTGCCACTGTAAGTCTTCAAAGTTACAGCTGCAGACGGGGCTCGAGGGCACCCGGTACGATGGCTGTCGTCACAGTCGCCTGGGAGCTTAGCGACAGCCTGGATGCGGCCTCCCAGACCCACTCGGAGTCCCTGGTGCTGGTGTGTTTTCAAAGCTCCGACCGCTGCCTGCGCCCCGAGGGAGCCGCGCCCCCGCCCCCGGAGCCGGGCCAGGGCGGGAATCATGCAGACAGCACGTGCCGGTCAC